TGTGGAGATTCTATTGGGTAAGTGACACACGCGCACACACACACACACACACACACACACACATACACACACATACAGTCGGTACAGTCCACTCACACCGCCAGGCTACGTTTTGGATTCAGTTTCAGTTTCAGATTCAAATTCCGATTCATTTTTTAAGTTTCATTTTTTGCATTGGATGTGTGTGTGTGTGTGTGTGTGTGTGCCTATCACATATGCGATTACTATATGCCATATGCCACAATTGAGCACAGACCCATTTCCCTATATACTCGCATAAATGTACAAAGTTGTTGTTGTTGTCCGTTTGCCGCTTTTGTGCTTTGTGTGTGTACAGACAATGGCGCACACAAATTGTTTCAAATACATGCCCAACTAATCCGTATATACTTAGTTTGAATAATGAGCCACCATCAACTGGCATAGACCGATTTCCAGTATGTGCCAAGATTTCAACTGTGACTTGTGCAATTTCTGGTTTTCTTAAACCTTGCCTTCACTTATCTAATCGTATGACTGAATATTCGTATACCTGATATAACTAGTCGAAAACTGAACGATTCTTATTTATCAGATTAGCTCCTTGTTTGAGCATCAAACCTTCTGGAGTTTCAGCACACGTAGCTCAGAGAATTCTCCGTACACAAAGATAATAAAGATCGAAGATTTCTAGTTAAATATAGATCCGAACTCTAGCTGCAGTTTCCTAAGAGAGAATATGCCTAGGGCGCTAGACAAGTTGCTGTTTAAGCTGCTTGGACGACTTTCTATAGCCTGTGACTATATCCAATGTTTATACGAATCTTGAGATTATCTGCGTAGCAGGGATCTTTAGCAGCTCTGACGACTTTCACTTTGTGGCTTGGCGAAGGCTCTGGCCCCTATAACAAATATCATAATGTCATTAGCACGTTTGAGCCGGGCTATAATGTTTAAAGCCTGCTCGTAGGCTCCACTAACTGTGGAGTGCCATACAAATGCCTGTCGTTCGTTTAAGGCCGAACACGTTTTGGCTTAAAAGTGAAAACCCCGCCAGTGTGTGGCAAATGTTAATGACATTGTCGCACAGATATATATATATATATATATATATATATGTAGACATATATCTATCTGTGCGTTTGGCCGATTGTTTTCTGGGCCATTGCATAAGGCAGGCACTCACCTTCGCCCCATAATTGAAATGCAGCCAAAACGCGCATCGCGTCTGAAAATTGCCAGCGCAAAGCCGAACCAAACTGCTAGCCAAGTGCAATTAAAATCACGTCGCATTGCCATTAAGCATTTAATCAGGAAAATTTGAATGCAATAGCAGCCAGCAGCGAGGCCCAGCCCCAAGCCCAGACCCAGCCCCAGACCCAGACCCAAGACCAGGCCCCAGGCCCCAGGCCCCAGGTCCGACTGACGCAAACGAGCAATTAGCAATTAAGATTCAACATAAAAATAATCAAAATGAAAATGACAAAAAAAAAAAAAAAAATGGTTTGCAAATTTTATATATATATATATATCTACAGTATATGGCGCGTGTAGCGAAAACTGAATCAAAAATACAACAACAAGCAGAAGAAGAAGGAGAAGAAATTCAAATGTCATTTTCGATTGCCATTGCATAACCCCCCCCCCCCCCCCCCCCCCCCCCGCCCATATACGTACATATATTTAAGGAGTATTCAGCTGCAACAAACTACCAGTTTTTCCAGCCAGTTGGCCAACTGGCCAGCTGGTCAACTGGCCAGTGGGCCAAAGTGAAATGGTGAAAAGCAAGTGGGGAAAACCAGAATTTCCACACTTGCGCAATGCAAACATTACTCGGACACGCACAGCCCGTTTTCAGCCTTAGCGGAAGAATTGTCAATTCAATCAAAGGTTCAGCCATGCAATCGCATACGTAACTCGGCCAAATAGTCCAGTTTTCTAAGAAACGTGTAATTGCAATTATTTAGACTTACGTTAAGATCAGCTGGCTCCAAACTAGACTTTCACTTCCACTTGACGCACAGAAATAGAGACTTATACGACCGCATCCGAACCCGAACCGAAGGTGCCAATCATTCGAGCTTTCTTGATCCCGTGATTCTTGCTGCCCTTGCCCCAAACTATCTATTCGAATTGCAGTCTTGATTAACTTCGGTGCTTAAAGTCCGATTCCTTCGAAATGTTCATTAATATGTTCATACAAAAGTGTGTATACATGAAAGCCCAGGCCACTCTTCAAATGGGCTAGAAAATATATGACATATTTCAAATTTCAGACATAATCCTTTATGGGCTCAGAGTTGCTTTCTTCTGTCTGTTGCAAAAGCCTTAACGCCTTTTCACCCATATTCCACGGAACTTAATCGAGTTCGCCAAAGGCTTGCGCTATGCAAATTTTAACGCAAAAGTTACATAAAACATGAGATTTATTATGATTATTACAGGCAGAGGAAATTGTTACAAGCTGTTAGCCTAGTTGTTTTTTTTTATGGATTTTTGGCCGAGGATTCGAACCCGGACTCTCGCGGTTGCCCAACATGAAATCGATTCAATTATATATACAAGTTTAGCTAGCTTACGTAACTCTACTGAAACTCTTGGCCTGATCAGCTGAAAGTAAATATGACACCTGTATATGATATATGTCATGCTTGTATGATAGCTGATGCCAGATACCAGATTTCAACTTGATACTTGATTGGTTTTCAAAGAAATCAATTTCTATAGGCATTCAAAAATGTGTTTTGGCAAAATGCGCATACGCTCCGTTGGCCCTCAGCTCGTTTACTGTTTGTGTGTGTGTGAGTGTGTGTGAGTGTGTGCTTAGCGATTGCTATTTATGCATTGTATTTGCAATTAGACAGCCGGCGCAGTCTCCGTTGTATGTTTGTTAAGTTTAATTGGCGCTTGGGTCAGTCGAGTGCATTCCACTTCCAATCTCATTCCCATTCCCATACCCATACCCATACCCATTTCCATTTCCATTCCCATTCGCATTGCCATTCCCGTTGCGTTCGCAATATTGTGACATGCTGCTGGCTATGGGCTAATCGGAGCTGGTGGGGCTCTACTTTTCGGTGGACCCCGTCTTCCAACATGTTGCACTTGCAGAAACCGCAATGGGCGTATCGAAGAAGACGCAGGACAAGTCTGGATTTGAGTACGCAATGGCCGTGATGCGCATGTGCGATATACTCCATGCTCGGCATCGCAGCATCTTTCTGCGCAACGAGTTCATCTTCACGCTGACCCGCTACTACAAGGAGCAGGGCCGTCTGCTGAACATCATTCACGGCCTCACCACCAAGGTTATACGCAGCAAGAAGGCGGCCTTCGAGCAGGGCACTCGCGGCTCTCTGGCACAGAGCGAGCTGAAGGCTGCCGCCCTCGAGCAGGAGGAGCGGGAACTGCGCGAGCAGCAACAGAGATCATCAGCTGGTGGCGCCAAGCCCGTTGAGCTGGCCAGCCCCGTTGCCGGCCTCTCCTACGGCCAGTCGGCGGGCCTCAAGGACGATCTGGACGTGGAGGACAATGATATTGGCGAGAAGAAACGTTTGGCCTTCCTCGATCTGATGCTGGAGAGTGCACAAAATGGCGCACTTATTACGGACACCGAAATCAAGGAGCAGGTGGATACGATTATGTTTGAGGGACACGACACGACGGCGGCTGGATCTTCGTTCTTTTTGTCACTGATGGGCATACACCAGGATATACAGGATCGCGTGATTGCCGAACTGGATGGCATCTTTGGTGACTCCCAGCGACCGGCCACATTTCAAGATACGCTCGAAATGAAATATCTGGAACGTTGCCTCATGGAAACGCTGCGCATGTTCCCGCCAGTGCCGCTGATCGCACGCGAGCTGCAGGAGGATCTGAAACTGAACTCGGGACCCTATGTTATACCGCGTGGCGCCACAGTCACAGTGGCCACCATATTGCTGCATCGTAATCCTAAGGTCTACGACAATCCCAATGTCTTTGATCCGGACAACTTTCTGCCCGAACGCCAGGCGAATCGACACTATTATGCCTTTGTGCCCTTCTCCGCAGGACCACGCAGCTGTGTGGGTGAGTATCCATACTAAATGGAAGGGTTCATTCGCTGACATGAGCTGAGATTACATATGCATAAATATTCGACAGGTCGCAAATATGCCATGCTGAAACTGAAGATCCTGCTGTCAACCATTATGCGCAACTATCGTGTCTATTCGGACCTCAGCGAATCGGACTTCAGGCTGCAGGCGGACATCATACTGAAGCGGGAGGAGGGCTTTCGCGTGCGCCTCCAGCCCCGACAGCCGGGACAGGCGACCACAACTGGCAGCACGGCAGCATCATAAACTTATGCATATCTTTATTTGCAAGTGATAGTCCCGGTCTATACAGTAATATTCCATGCATAATACAAGCAAGAAACAAAACACACACTCTCCCCCCTCCCCCTACACACACACATACACACACACTACTAAAGAGCGTAGTATGTAATTTGTATTGATATTTGATAAATATTTGTTTATCGTAGCAATTTTCAAGCGCTGCATTTAACATGTAACACACACACACACACACACACACACAGACAAAAACATCAGCAACAAATATTATTTCATTTTTTTTTTTGTGTATTTAATAATAATATGAATAATGTTTTGACAATATATTTGGTGTAATATTTTAAATTGCGCGCCTGTTCGATCTTCCTTTTTACCGCATGGGCAACTCTACGCGTTAGAGTATATGAATAAATTACTGCTGCTATAGGAATATTTGGCGCCGATGCTGAGATAACATAATTTTCGTTTGCCAATAATGTATAAACGAGTTAATTTGCGTTTTTGTTGTTAATAACATGGACTCCCATCGTACTCTAGGACTCTATTCGAATATTTAAACTTGTTCATATCTGAATATGTTATTAAATAAATATCGTGCTATGTGCGCGCCCAACGCATTTTTGCGCTCACGCTATCGATAGTCGTCGTTGGGCGAGCAAAAACATCTGGCAACGCCGCACAGCTGTGCCAGCGAAAGTGACACGACGACAGCCGAAACGTTGACGGTCGAGGATTTGGAGCCAGGCATTAGATTTGTTTTGTATTGTTTAACTAGTGCCTTCTGTTCGCAATATGTCAAACGCCATTGACGAGCTGCAGGCAATCATTGCCGAGCTGAAGTCGGAGCTGGAGGAGCAAAAGACCTGCACACGCAATGCTCGTGAACGGATTGAGCGCATGTCCGCGGAGGTCGTCGATTCCAATCCGTACAGCCGCCTTATGGCGCTGCAGCGCATGAACATAGTGAAGGACTATGAGCGCATACGCGACAAGGCGGTAGCGATTGTGGGCGTCGGTGGCGTTGGCAGTGTCACTGCCGACATGTTGACACGGTAAGCAAAAGTGGTAGAGGAATGCGAATGGGAATGGGAATGCGATTACTAAAGCATATTATATTGATGATGCGTTCATTCAACAGCTGCGGCATTGGCAAGCTGATACTGTTCGACTACGACAAGGTGGAGCTGGCCAATATGAACCGATTGTTCTTCACACCCGACCAGGCTGGCCTGTCTAAGGTGGAAGCAGCGGCGCGCACACTCAGCTTTATCAATCCAGATGTGCGGATCGAGACGCACAACTACAACATAACCACCGTGGACAACTTTGACAAGTTCCTCAGCACAATCTCCGAGAGCGGCATGCAGCAGGGCCAGCCCGTTGATTTGGTGCTCAGCTGCGTGGATAACTTTGAGGCGCGCATGGCCATCAATGCGGCCTGCAACGAGAACAATCTGAACTGGTTTGAGTCTGGCGTATCCGAAAACGCCGTGTCCGGCCACATACAGTTTATACGTCCAGGCGACACGGCCTGTTTTGCCTGTGCGCCGCCGCTGGTGGTCGCCGAGAACATTGACGAGCGGACGCTGAAACGGGAGGGCGTCTGTGCCGCCTCGCTGCCCACCACGATGGGCATTACGGCGGGTTTGCTGGTGCAAAATGCGCTCAAGTATTTGCTTAATTTTGGCGAGGTCTCCGACTATTTGGGCTACAATGCGCTGAACGACTTCTTTCCCAAGATGACTCTCAAGCCGAATACGCAGTGCGATGATCGGCATTGTCTGCAGCGCCAGAAGGAGTTCCAGGAGCGACCGAAACCTGTGCTGCAACAGGTGGAGGAGGTATCCGATGAGCCGCTGCATGCCAGCAACGACTGGGGCATTGAGCTGGTGGCTGATGATGCGCCAGTCGCGGAACAGGCGCCCAAAGCTACAGACACTGCGAATGTGGCATCTGGACTCCGACTGGCTTACGAGGCGCCAGAAAAGGAGGCTGTAGACCAGGCGGGCCATGCAGCTGCTGGTGACGGTATGCCAGAGACGAGTCTGGAAGATTTAATGGCGCAAATGAAGTCTATGTAAGACTGCAAGACAAATTCCATACAACTCTGTTATTTATAAATATATTTACAATTTTCCCTTTTTTTTTTACTACAAAAGATAAAATTTAAATTTGGCTGTTTTTACTTAGCTCGCCTATCGATAAATCGAACTTAACAGAGAAGCCTAACAGCAGCAAGAAAAAATACCAAATACCAAAATATGATAAAAAATACTTTTGAGTATGCGGTCACGCTGTATTAAACATTGAATATCTGTCGCGTTGTCAAATTGCAAAAACAAGTGTTTTTTTTTTTCGTTCTTGCCAGCCAAACCTTTACCGAATTGACTTAATAAATCTGCTTAAATGACTAAAAAGGAGGATAAACCACAGCCCGCTGAAGAGGTAAGTACAGCACAGCGCTGACCGGCATAGTGACGCCTCCGGCAACCGGTTTCCGTTTGGGTGTTTTTTTTTTCTGTTTTAATTGAACACGTCAGTCGGTACCGTCCCTAATGTTAACGAGATCCAACAACAATTTGACAATTTGCAGCTGGTTAAAGTCAACAAGTGGGATGGCTCGGCGGTGAAGCATGCCCTGGACGATGCGGTCAAGACCTGCCTGTTGGGCGATCGGCCACAGTTGAAGGAACAGTTCGGCCTGGTGAACACCCGTCTGGTGCTCTGCGCCCTGGCCGTTGGTGTGGCCATTATGGCGCATGCCTGGGACTTTACCCATCCGTTTCCCCAGTCGCGGCCCGTGCTGCTGTTCAGCGTGCTGGCCTACTTTGCGCTGATGGGCGTGCTTACGCTTCACACAACGTTCCGCGAGAAGGGCACCTTTGTTGTTGCCGTGCAGAAGGATGCCGGCGCCAAATTGCCGCGCATCTGGGAGGCCAGCTCCGATATGAAGAAGTACGACGATAAGTACCTGCTCACACTGTCCGTCAAGGATGGGCGTGGCCAGCGCGAGCAGACCAGCAGCAAGTCCTGCGCCGCCTTCATCGACAGCAACGGCATCATTCTGGAGAATCTGGTGGCCAACGAGGTCAATCGGCTGTACAATTCGCTGGCCGCCGAAAAGAAGGAAAAGTAGCTGCCTGGTCTACAGCGGCAGCTGCCTCAAGCGCTGATTGTCTAAGAATTTACTGCTTTCCATCGATTTTTCCTTTCAACTTTACAACTTTACTTTATTTTTTTTTTTCCCCCTCCCCCTCCATTCTCATTAAATTAATTGTAGTAAATACGCAAATCTTTGAATAACGACACCGAGCACGTCGTGTGTGGGCCGATCGAAGGCGGCTTGGCAAATTGTTTTGGGCTGGGAATCGTTTGTTGTTTATTCCGTAGCATTTGGAGAGCTTGTGGAAAAGACTGTGGATGAAACCGTGAAGCCACAGCATGATGCTCGCATAGCCAGTATTCCATAACACGAACACCTTTCGGCCGAAAACAACCATCAAAATTGAATTGTCAAAAATTTATAAATAAAGGAAAAACAAAAAAAAAAAAGAAAAAACAAAGAGTCCGACTGCGACAGCGCGGAGAGCGGGCGTGTGGAATGCGAGAGATTGTGACGCTGCAGATCGGCGGCGCCGGCAATGCCATTGGCGATGCGGTGAGTAGCTGATCTCAGGTCAGTTGGCCAGGATTGCATCTCATCCTGAGTGTTCCACACACGCAGTTCTGGCATGTGATCTCGCACGAGCACGGCGTGGACTACGCATCCGGGCACTTTGGCGGCACCAGCCCACTGCAATTGGAGCGCATCAATGTGTTCTTCAATGCAACGGCCAGCAAGAGATTCTATGCACGGACCATCATCATCGACACGGAGGCAAGCACCATACAGCGCCTGAATGCCAGCAGCCAGCTGTACAGGCCGGAAAACTTTGTCGCCGGCTCGGAGAGTGCCGGCAATAATTTTGCGCGCGGCTATCATACGGACGGTGCCGAGATACTCGATCAGGTGCTGGACAATACGCGACGCGAGGTCGAATCCGTGGACTCGCTGCAGGGCTTTCAGCTGCTCCATTCGATTGGCGGCGGTACCGGCTCCGGCCTGACATCGCTAATCATGGAGGCGCTGGTCGAACAGTATCCGGATAATTTGCTGTGCAACTATGTGACCATACCGTCACCGAACATGTCCCAGGTGGTGGTAGAGCCATATAATGCGCTGCTCAGCATTCCGGCGCTGGTGAACAACTCGCATTTGACCTTTTGCCTGGACAACGAGGCGCTCTTTCAGATCTGCAATCGCAATCTGAAAATACAAATGTCCGGCTATGAGCATATCAATCATATTGTTGCCTTGACCATGTCCGGCATAACCACCTGCCTGCGCTTTCCCGGCCAGCTGAATGCGGGCCTGCGTAAGATCTATGTGAACATGGTGCCATTTCCACGGCTGCACTTCCTCATACCGGGCTTTGCGCCGCTGGTCACCTGCAAGCAGCAACAGTTTAGCAAGGGCACCGTCTCCGAGCTGGTCCAGCAGATCTTCTCCAGCAACAATCTGTTGTGCGCCATCGATTTGCGCAAGGGCAAGCTGCTTACGGCCGCTGGCATCTTTCGCGGCAGAATGTCGCCGCGCGAGGTCGACCAACTGATGACGGGCGTGCGCAACAAGAATCTGCACAACTTTGTCGATTGGATACCGAACAACATTAAGACCGCCATCTGTGATATACCGCCGCGTGGCCTCAAGATGTCGGCCACGTTCATTGGCAATACGACGGCAATTCAGAGCCTGTTCCAGCGTCTGTTGGACGGCTCCTGCATTATGCTGCGCCGCAAGGCTCATCTTCATTGGTACACCGGCGAGGGCATGGAGGAACGCGAATTCACCGATGCCCAGGAGGAGCTGCAAAACATTATCGATGATTATCGTGGCAGTGGCGATGGCGGCGATGGCGCTGCCGCTGGAGGCGGCTCTGCTGCTGGTGGCAACGATGGGGATAGTGGAGATGAGGCGGCGGCTGGACCACAATGTACTTACTGCGCAGACTGAGGCAACCAATTGGCCATCAATATTGTTCTCGTATCTGGCTGGCATCTAGTTACGGGCGGTGGCAGCAGCATTCCGTTGCGGTGCGTAGTTCAAATGCCGGATCTGGTAAACTTGGCAATTGGCAGTTGCGACATTTGGCGGCATGATGCAGTGCATCCTATTTATAGCTGGCCAAAGTTCGTTGCGTTTAGAGTTCAGCGCACCAATCTGTGTCCGTGTGTGTGTGCACGCGCACACACATCTCTATACGTGCATCCACATGCCGGCTTTTGGGCAAAGGTGCTGCAAATTGCGCGGCTCTATTAATAAAATTGCATAAATCTATGAGGCAATGCGACTAATGCGGCCCCGGCTAATGCTGAAAAGGTTTTTGCACTTGGCTTGTCTATTTTTGGCAGCGACGCATTCCTGAGATGCCAGCGCCGATGTCTTTCCCGGCCTGGCCTGCCCTGGCCAGAGAGGCGTTGACAAAAATACACGCAACTGCTCGGCGGGCACACACAGGGCCGGGTGCTGGGCTGGGGAGGTTGCTCATGAAAATGCAGCGCGCAAGTGGAGCACGCAGACAGACACACGCACATGCCGCATGCAGCAGCAGCAGCAGCAGCGGCGGCGGCAGCAGCAGCATACATGAATATAAACATAATGCAAATGTCTAAATTAAGAATTTATAGGCGGCGCCAAGAGCACTAAAGTGGCGGCTGCTGGGCTATGTTTAGGCCAGCGCCCAATGTCCATTGCGTGTCAAGATTCCGTCAAGTGTGTAGCGTGATCGCTGCTTGTTCTCATTTCACTTCGCCTTTTCAATAACCATTTTGAAAATTTCAAGCCAAGCCCGCGGCCGGACTTAAGCGCAGAGTTGCTATTTGGCGAGTCGAGCGGGAAAAGTGCAGCAGGTTGGCACGCATGCGTTCCATTTAATCAGAAATGTTATGCTATCGTTGTTAAGTCAGCTGTGCGTTCATTTTTAACAGTGCCAGTTTGAGTACGATAGTATTCTTTTTAATTCAATGTCATATATTTACAATAACAACAAAAATAGGTGCATTATTTTAACAATTTCAACGTCGCCTGGTACTTGAGATTAGGCATTGATAAATGTTTCACAAGCTCAGCAACCGATATATTAGTTTTGCAGTTAACAGCGTCCTAACAGCTGTTAACAAAATACTGCTATCGATTAAACGCGCCATTACAACCAATTTGTCATCGATATTCAGAAGCAATAACAAACCCGAACGAGGCGGACGTGTGATGCTCGGTGCGCTTAATTGTGAATTGAAATCGTTGTCGCCTGGTTTATGTGTGCGCTGGGTTTGTGACTGTTATTTGTCGTTTACTAACTGAACTCTACCGACTACCACGAGTTTATTTATTTGTTTGTTTGAGTGTGAGTGTGTGTTTATTGTGGTACAAATTCAAATTATTTAACAAATCGTATGTGCGCTGCAACACCACTTTTTTTTTCCATGCGTTTATTCCGCGCTTCGTGTTCGAATAATATTTAAATATTTTAATTGCGAGTTGTATTTGCTAAAATCCAGCAGCATTAGCATTTCAATTATTTAATTCTTGTGTGTGTTTTTTTTGTATTTTTTTTTTTTGTGCAAAGTTGGACACACGTACACACACACACACACACTCAATTCAAGCAGCAGCAAGAAGTTGCTGTGAGCTGCGCTGCCGCCGCCGAAGTTAGCAGAACACGACGGTGTATACACCAACACAACCAGCATTGAGCATATACATACACACACAACACGCATACTCAGATACAGACACAAATACAACAGCCAGCGCAGCATTGACAAAGTAACGTAAAACGTGTTGTGTATGTTGTGTGAAATTGTTATGCGTGTGCCGCGCATTCAATTCTAATTTAAATGGTCTTAAAATTTCAAACAAAAAAATCAACAAACAAAAATAAAATCAAATAACAGGCAAATCGAAAACTACAAAATAACAGCAAAAACAGCCAAGAAATTTCCGTGACTGTTGTCGCTGCCGCTGCCGCTGTTGCTATAGTTGGACCTGCATAGTTTGGCTGCAGCAACAGCATCCCTAGTGCTGTCACGCTTCAACTAACAGGCTGTTGCATTTGCGACGTCGGCAGCGCAGCTTAAAAGGGCGCTGGAATTTCTCGGCTTCTGTTTTTCTTATATTGCTGATGCTGCTGCTGCTGCTGCTGCTGATGCGGGCAGTGTGACCAAAGCTTTGCGAAAAGCGCGCGCGCGACTCTTGTGTGTTGTTATTTACATTCACGTTTTGTTGTTTTCCTTTTTGTTTTGTTAGCAAACATATTTAATTATTGTATATATTATTGTTGTTTTCTGTATGTGCCACAGTTTAAATTTCGCGCCGTCGTCTCAACGCAACCCCAACTGCAATACAGTCTCTCCCCGCCCCTGCCGCCCCCTAAATAAAACAAATTTAAACTAAAACAAGAAAAAGCCCAAACGAAAAAAAAGACGAAAGATCTAAAAAAAAAAAAAAGTGTTCGTGCGTGTGTGAAGAGAGAGAGAGAGAGAGAGAGAGAGAGAGAGCGAGAGAACGAGAGCAGCTGCAGCTTGAAACATGTTTACCGAGGAGGGCATCTTTCCCATAGGCGATGGCCTGCTGGACGTTGATGCCAAACGCTTGAAGGGATTACTTGTGTCGCATGACATCAACGAGATCTACGAGGTGGAACAGACGCCGTTTGCCAGGTGAGTGAGAAACCGGAGCATAAAACGTGTTTTCTTCTTCTTATTTTGCTGCGACTGCTGCTGCCGCTGCTGCCTCGAAAAGTTGCCAAAAAAGCGAAAACTGCGTCTGCAACATGTCCAACGACAAGCACAAAAATGCTTAAAGAAAGTCAGTCAGCAGTCAGTTGTGTTTTTTTTCCTTCTTTTTTTTTTTAATGTTGAAAACTGAAATCTTCTGCGCAGGCGCCGCGGCAGCAGCAGCAGCAAGTCAAAAAACTTGTTTTGTCTGTATGTGTGTGTGTGTGTGTGTGTGTGTGTGAGCTTCTACTTTGCACACATACAGGCGCACATGTGCACAAAAACTTGCATTGGGCACTCTCTTGCGCCGTTGTTGTTATCATTGTTGCTGTCTTTGCCTGCCCTTTGTGGCATTTGCCTTAGCACCAACAACACATAGCAGCTGTTCCCGTTTGCCGCCGTCGCCGAGTGACCCTCGTGCTTCATTTTGCATTCATTTCGCCTTCGCCTTGCATTTTGTTCGATAGCTCGTTCGCTCTCGCTCACGCTCTTGCTCGCGCTGCTGCTGCCCTTAGTCCGCGACAGCAGTCTGGCAACCTTTTCAGCTAGATTTGCATTTTTGCTCGTTTTTCATTATAATTTGTTTTGCATTTCGTTTTATACCTTTTCCGCTTTCCGTTCCGTCATCAGTGGCAGCAGTTTGCTCATTAGTTTTTATTTGGTTTTTATTCAAAATCGTCTCGTCGCTTCTCCCCAACTCCAATTTGCATAAATATTTCACTCATACAGTTGTGCTTCTGTTTCCGCAGCAGAAATATCAGCAGCAGCTTCCTAGTTGTTGCTCCTGACCTTCTCTCTCGCCCACCCCCCTCTCTTTCTGTTATTTTAACTATTCTGACAATTGAAATGAAGCGAGCGAGAGAGAGAGAGAGAGAGAGAGCGATTAAGGAGCGACATTGCCACTTGAGACGACGCCTGTCCGTGTCAATCTGCCCCACTCTTTTTTTTTCAGTTCTTATTACTTTGCACACTAGAAAATAAACGAAGAAGTATAAGAAGAAGCAGAAGATGCAGCCCAAGTGGACTGACTGACTGTGAAGGTCGTTCGCTTCGCTTCGCTTCGTTTGCGCTCTTTGCATGAAGCTCTCTCTCTCTCTCTCTCTCTCCAGTTTAGAACAGTAACAGCAGCAAGAAGAAGAAGAAGCTGAGACAATAGATGGACAGACAAGCATGCTCGCAGCTGTCTTTATCTATAGCTCGTGCGGCTTTGGAGCTGCTGATAAGCCACAGGCAAACAATTTTATCAGTTATCGATGGGTTGATTTCGCAAGCGCGCAATCTAATATAATATATGTACATATGTACACATTCTACGTATGTAGAAGAAAAAGTAATAATTTCTGGTCATACTTACCATAAACTAAAAAAGCTTATCTTCGCGTTTGTTGTTGTTGTTGTTTTTACTAACATTGTACCTTGTACATTTCTGTACATACATACATACATATGTATGTGATTCCTTACCTACGTGATTGCTATCGAAATATTGGATATGGTTAAATAATATCATTTTTTGTTTCATTTGAAGTTTCTAGAGTTTTCCTTAAGTAAATATATATGTATATATATTTATATATATATATATACTTCCGACAATGCCGCATTGAATACTTTTTTCATTTTCCATGAAACTCCTAAAATTGTTTCATCTCTGTTGGTTTTCAAAATAAGAATAAAATGGCAAAATCAACATACTTTGGATTTTATTTAATTTAATTTTATTTGGTTTTTCAAAAGCATTTTCGAAACAGCTGTGTCGCACTCCCGGCACGTAACATTTGTTAATTATATTAAACAGCTGCGCGTAAATTGCTAATTACGCTAAATGTTACCAACATGAGTATACATATGTATACCTGTGCATGTACATATAAATATATAAGTATATATATATGTATGTATATGTATGTGTATGTGTATGTGTATGTGTATATGTATCTGTATATGTATATGTATCTTTATCTGTATATGTATATGCATATGTGTATGTATATGTATATGTATATGTATGTGAGAAAAACAGATAGGTTTTCGATAATTGGCAAAAAGTCCTGCGTTTTGTAGCTATCTTCTTTATGTTTCTGGTTAAAAACTCAACACGGAAAATCCCAAAAAATTCCAGATAATTGTAATTTTAGCCTATTTTTGAGCCAACTTTGTTTGGTTTTTTTTTTGAAACATCTAACATATACAACAAATATAAAAATTCTAAATTTCGACTTCTTTCGCTCATGCAAGAGCTTTCACTGTATCAACGGACCGGGTAATACATACATATTTATTAGCAATATTATTTGCTTTCTACAAAAATTGTACGATTCGTTTAGCTTCTTTTTTTTATTCAGCTTTTATATAATTTCACCTTCTATTAAATTTCGCCTGTTTGGCAAAGTTCTGCCCAGCGGCAAACAAAATGTTTCGTCTTTGGGGTTTTTTTTGTGTTTCTTATTTTCTCCTTTTATTTTTCTTCTTGCTTTTGGGCTTCAACCTGTTGCTTTGCTTTGCTTTCGTTTCTGCTCACAATTCTTCTTCTTGGTTGTGCTTTTTGTTTTTTTTTTTATAACCTTTTTTAGTCCGTTTTCTTTTGGTTGCTTGGGCTTTTAGCTTTGTTGGTTTGTTGCTTATCAACGCGTATATTTTGAACGTTCCTTCAAAACAAGCAAGAAATTTTCGTTTGGGCCTTCGATTGTTTTGACTCAAAAGTTGGTAAGGCTTTCTTTACCCTGTAAATATTAAGCATGGGCAAAAGAGGGTATACTGCAAACGAAAAGAAGGAAGGATAGAAGGATAAAATTTAAAATAATTTTGTATATAACGCATCCATAAATAATATTTTGTTGGATTTCATATTCAAATTCATATTGGGTTATATTTTACAATTAAAACAAACCGAAATGCTATATAGACTAATAGCTACAGGGTATTTGCGTTCTTGCTTGTATTTATTGGCCTCAACTTATGGGACAATTTTTGGTGTCACTTTTTATCGCAGTTCTCTTATCAATTTCTTTAGATAAGCAGCAGGCAGAAGGTTTTTCTACGTTCTTTTGTGTTTCATATTTAGCGAACTTGTTTAGCCAAGTTTGCTTTCGAGATTTGTCTTCCAACTTTTTACAGCGAAACGGCCGATGAATCTTAAATGGCCCAGATAAAGCGTTTATGCCATATGTATATGTGCCCGATTAGCAAATAATGAAGAAGAACAAGAAGACGAAGATGTTGCTCTTGATGAAATATCAGCGACAATGCGACAGCGATAATTAATGCGGCAGTTACTCCAGAAAGCGATTGCTCACAGCGGAAACGTCTTCGTTTTTGGGGGCATTTGCAAAAACAAAGATTAACCAAGTGATTTGTGGGATTTTCCTCGTACTTGTATGCAATGGGCGAAAACAGCAAGAGTTAAGCGGAACACGACTAACTCGCCATTTACTAAGAAGACGATTAGATAATTAAGTTGGGAATTTGTGGAATCCATATAGAGGTGGATTCATATATTCACTCTAAAACGCGAACGATAACAGCGTACTAAGGTTATCGATAGTTAACGATTCGATATCATTTCTAAAAATGTTTATTTGCTGCACTTTTATCGATAATCATTTTGACAAAAAGCGAACACAAGTGACATGTTTGCTAAGCATGGTTATCGATAACTAACTATGCGATAACTCGTTTCAGCCAACTGTTTGCTAAGCTTCATTATCGATAGTTAGGGTAACGATAAGTTGTTTCTAAATATATATTTGTATAGTTTCACTGTTATCGATGAGCGCTTCGATAAAAAGCGAACGATAACAGCCACATATTTGCTAGGCATGTTTATCGATAACTAACTCTTCGATAGGTCGTTTCTAAATATTTGCATTAATTAGCTTGACCCATATCGATAAACAAGTCGATATTTGCTGCGTATTTAAAGGCTGCTGTCGATAAAACCGACGATTCAATGCATTTTACATGTTCAACTTATCGATAAATGTTTGATTATTAATCAAAATAAGCTTAACCAAAGCTTTTTCCTTACTCACACACACACACAGAGATAAACCAGCTCTCTGCTCACAGTCAATACTCCTTGACGTTTAAGAGAGCGTACTCATCTAACAATCATATATCGAGCTGAAATCAATCTCTTTGCATGCCACACACAAACTACAAAGACTGAGATAGAGATAAAGAGTGTGAGAGAGAGGGGGGGAGGTTGCAAAAACTTGTTTCGTTGACTCTTTGTGTAAAGAGGCTCTTAAGGGCGGGCGTTTGAGGGCCGTAGGAGCTGTGACATTCGCCAGCAAGATGCGACAGAGATGCCAGTGAATAGAGGAAGGGAGGTAGGGAATAGGTTGCGAGTGATACTTGAACAACGTTGTTGAGCACCCGCCAGGCGTCTAAGATTACCCAACGAATCCACTTTCACCAGTGCCGAGCGAGCGAGCGGGCTAGCTATAAAACGAGGGTTGAATGACGTCGACATTCGCCCCAAAGGCGTGGGCCAGCTGTGAACCTCGCCCACGCACAAATTTGTTTGCCACGCAGCACCCGAAAAACACAAGCGCCCACGCCACAAACGGCGGCAGCAACAGCAGCAACAGCATTGCGAGTGCGTCACATTTTGTGGCACGTAAAACGAATAATCAGCTGTCTTAACATACTTTGGGTAGGTGGTTGACTGTGGTGGTTGGCCTACTCCTTGTGTGACGTATTTCGGCTTTGAGGTTATGTCGAGTTGTATTTTGGCTTTGAGGTTATGTAGAACTTTGAGGTTATGTGAAGCCAGGATGCATTTTATAGCTGTAGCATACACATGTATTTGCAATTGACTTGTGATTTCTGCTCAACCCACTGCATATACTCTATAAATATAGAGGCATTATGCAAGCGCCTAATTTCCAATTGAAAAATTCGGTCAGCAACAATTGCAACAGCAACAAAAACTGGCCGCA